TTTTTTTTTTTTTTTTAAAAAAAAAGAAAGAAAAATAGCAGGGGCCAAAGTAGTGAGGAAAATCTATCATACCACAAAAACGAGATCCAATTCATTGTCCACAGTACCGACATAGTCATACATATCGACCAACTTCTCTGAACTATGAGAGAAGCCTGATATAATCCAATAAAACATATCACTACATTTAAATATTTAGATGGCAAGAAAGGTGGAAACTAAAAATAAATACATGGATACACATAAGAAAAAATGGTTCACCTATTTTCCGACAGTTGATGGGTAAATACTGGGTGACCGGGTTCTTGATCACCCGAAGAAGCTTTTCGCCTTTACCGGCTGCAGTAATGTGCAACTTTTGCAACAATTGCACTGCAAATCATTGATAAAATGTGATTAGAAGTTTTTTTTTCCCGTTGATTCAAAGTGTTCGATGAAATTATACAAACGTATAATCTGAATCAGGCCTTACTCACCCATGAGACCAGAGAATCTCTTATATGTCCTCGGCATACGAGCGTGAGGTTTGATGTGCAAAAGAAGGCCTTGTTGTGTCCTCACGTATAAAGCTTTTAATCTCCCGCATTTGTTGACTCGACTGTCTAATATTGTTTGAATAGCCTAATGTTTTAGGATGTTGAACACGTGATTTGTTAGGAACAAGACAACCCCTCAGTGAAGAACAATTACAATAAACAACTAAACAAGAAAGGTAAACATGATCATTCTGTGCATAATAGATGTGTAAGTTCGATGTTCATGTGCAACCAAATGCATGAGAAGACAGCATAAAAGTTTTTGATTTTTTCACAATTTGGGTGTCAATCAAGCATCATATTTCTGGATCGATTAAAAATCTTCAAGAAATTTTGGTAGATTCTCTAAAAAGAGATTTATGATTCTGCAAAACAGAACAAGTGCCATTGCAACTGATAAATTAATAAATTAAAAACCCATGCGAACAATGTTGCATGATGTTATTATGTACAATCACTTGATATACAAAATTGATTTGAGCTTTGAAAAAATGCATATATCGAGCTCACACGATTGATTCTTTATTCTTCAAAAGCTAGCAACAACCAAAACACCCCAAAGCAATTATGTAAGTATAAACTAAAACAACTAAAGCTCCAACCAGCGAAAATCACCCTCAACAGACACACAACAAATTGATCGTTTTTTCAGTTCTGAAGCTCAAACCTGAAAAGCAATGTCCGGCCGATAATCTGCAGGGTTCCGTTTATTCCTCACCAGAAAATTAGCGTGCTCGTCCGAGCTCAAAAGCTGATAAGTCTGCACAATGAAAATCCAAACAAAACAAAACAATCAAAACTTTTACTCCATAACTAAAAAACAAAAATCTCATTCCCCTTGCTCTGAAACAGACCTTTCCAGCTTTGGCAATCTCCAAAGACGCCTTCTCGAGAATAAAGACAACGCCCGGTTTGTTAACATTGTTATCCACCGGAACAATCGGAATTCCGGGCAATTCACCGGCGGCCTCCGCCTCCGCCTCCGCCTCCGCCTCCGCCTCCGGTTGTTCATCTTTCCTCTCCGGCTCGGATAATTCTGTTTTCATTTTCTTCTGCGGTTCTTGGGCTACAGTCTCCTCCAATGGCTCGTGTTCTTCTTCTTCTCTGTCGTACTTCTCTCCTTTGTTCTTCCTCTTTTTCCCTTTCATTTTATACGCCCGCACCATTGTCCCTTATCGCCGGAAAAGCTGAACATTGAAAATGAATAAATTAAGGAGATGAACGATGCTCAGTATAAATTCTAACAGCAGCTCTAATGGCGGACAGGAACACGAACACGAATGTTAAAATCGAGGGCAGGTTGTAAATGGCAGCAGCTGTGAAATTAAGGTTACTGACAGCTTACACTGGAAGAAAATTTCAATCTGCGGAGCTCAATCTACTGAAGAACTAAGTAAATGGTGAAAATATTAGGAATTTTTTAACTACAAGATTGAAGCTTTGGGAAGTTAGGGTTTATGGGGTTTATAGTCC